CAAAAGTATCCAGCAGTCAATGATACTACTAACTGCTTCCATAACATGTTTTCTACATAATATTGAATCAGGTGAAATGTGATAAAATGCTGTTAGTTGCTGTCTGTCAATTTGGACATTATTAGCTTTAGAATATTCATTCCCTTTAACGCAGGAATTCAAATTGCGCTTAATAACGTCAAACCTTTATTGTTTGTTTAGTAATTTAAACTGTTTGTTCGTTATAGCTATATCGCATAAAGGCATTCTTTAAAAATGCTTTCCAAAGCAAAGGTGCTAGGGTAAAATTAAACTTTAATTTTAAAAATACGACAAGGGCATAACTAGAAACCAACGAGCACATAATAAAATATTATATTTTTATATTATAAATATTTATATTATGTGCTCGTTGCTAGAAACACAGCTCACTGTAATAAGTAGGATCATCCGCGTTCAAAATTTACACTTAATTTTATATAGAGAGCTCGGGGGCTAGGATCCTGAGGTCCCGGGCTCAAGTCCCACCAATCACCAATGGATTTTATCCATGTTATGATACTGTTACCCTCTAGGTTAGTGATAAATTATATAAAACCTTATTTCAGTAAATGTAAAACACTTGACAGTTGTAGTAATCCGTTAGGTATCGTACTTCATTCCGTTCCAACCTCAATCTAGTTACTAAGGGAAGATGCAGCACCTGCTTCCACCCAACAGCTGGTGTCAAGGCCATTACATATAAGTTGGGGTACCTTTGCTTTTAACATATTTTTTAATATGCACTTTAAGGCAAGGACTTTTTCGTGGAATACAAAATGTTTTGTTAGTTTTTCTCAACAATTTTATTTCAGCACACAGTTCAATTGGTTTAGTTTCAGCATAGAAATATTTAGTTGTAGTTAAGTGATCTGTTCGTAACGATATTAAAAGTCAAAAGTATTTATGATTAATAAAAGGGAATGAATAAACTATCAGATTCTCTTACACTGTACAACATTTAACATTATGTTGTTTTTACTCAGATTTTTTTTATAGTACAGAGTCTTTTAATATTCTTATCTTAATATTTTTAATTATAAAGTGATGCAGCAATTTAATGTTGTGCTTATGAAATAGTCAAGGTATGTAATCTATTTTTTTATATTTGCAAATATTAAGCATATGTTTTTGTGATGCACAACTGTACAGAATCCTTATCTCCATAAATTGTACTAATTGTTATGCTAAGAGTTAGAATATAATTGACTATTGAAACTGTCATTCATAATTACGGTGCCATAATTATGTAATATCAAATTGTAGCTTAAAGTATTATGAAACTACTCCAGAATCCAGAATTTACTTATTTCTTACGTTGTCGAAGCCTTGTTAATACCTCTCTGAGAAACCCCATTTAATTATAACTGAAACTATAAACATTGAGGGTGGGAAATTATTATGATGGGAAAGTTAGTCTTTCATCAGGTAATTCAAAGTTAGATTAGCTTTTTACCCATTTTAAAACGGGTTTAAAACTCTAAATTATATCTTCTTGATAAATTAATTGTAAAAACTATATATTACCTTTACTTTTCAATTTTTAAATACAGTACTTTCTTGCACTGTTAAAAAGTTTCACTCATGACATATTTGTTTTAAAAAGTTATTAACATTTGTACCATAAATAAATAATGACATTAAATTAAAAAATGTTAAATACTGATGATGTGTTTTCATTTGTAGAAGGAAATAAAAATGGGTCCTTCCGATTGCTAGACGAAAACACATATTGTGTTCAAAAGTGTATAAAACGGAACAAGACTGATACGGTATTAAAAATAAAAACAGGTTGTAAAATAGAATAATGTTAATCAATGTCTCGGTGATTTTATTTGGTGTAATACTGTATGTTATCATAACTTATATAAGTTGTAAATGTATTACCATCAGTGTTGTATTTATTTCGACAACAACTAATTTGCAACCATTAAGTGTGATATGTTTCATCGCTATGTCTAGTAGGATACGGTTGCTGGCGTCTATGAATAAAAAATGAATAAGCCTACTAGTCTTAAATTTATTTTCCCTTGGAGGAATAGTTTCTCTTTGTCAATTATTAAAATTTTGACAAATATTTGTTTTTATTAAAAGTTTTGAATCTAATGTTGGCTATTTGTGTGTGCTTTAGGTCAAGCTGTTATGCTGCAACATAAAACATAAGATCACAAAAGCTGTATAGCCAAGACGAGTTACACTCTAGGGTCTAATATATTGTGTCTGGCGATGTATGTCGTGTTGTACGAAATTGGATGCGACAATGTATTTTTGCGTGTTTTGAAACATTTATTTTGAGAGTTAGAGTACAAAACATTTGTCTTTAAACCCTTTGCCAGAATACGACGTTGATAAAGTAAAGATAGAAATGTTGATACATTTAATTCATTCATACAGGAATGCATTCGGTTGAGCCATTTTACTACAACACCTCAACTGAGCCAACATCTAAAAACATTTTAAGAATATTTTTGAACGAAAAAAAACGCTGTTTATTTCCTAAATGACTCAAAAGGTACTTAATATGCACAAGGCTTATTAGATTAACTACAGACCGTAACGAGATTTAGGTGGTTTTAAGGGAAGAAATTACACCACCTCGACCTAAACCTACCTTAAAAACAACAGCTTGACACCTGAGGTTTGGTACGTCTTTGGCTACATAATGATGAATTTATCCCAGCTTTGTCACATGTGATTGGCAGGCAATTCTCTACCCAGGGACCCTATAAGTCTAATGACCAAGCATGTATTTATATTTGACTGTGTCTCATGCATTTATATAATGTCTATAGACGAATAAATATCATTTCATTTCATTTCATAGTGTTGTTAATCAATTCAATTTACGATTGTTTAGGATCTAAAAAACTAGATTAAACTGTTAAATTACAAGACGTTCTTTTAAACTTCTTGACAATTATATTTCCATTTGCAAATTTCAAATTCACTTTGAACTACTTTATACTTTAAGGAAACCAGTTATATTTTACGAGTTTCGTTGATATTTTATTATTTAAATGGCTACAAAGTAATATTAATAAACGAATATTTCCAACATGTTAAATTAGTGATTCCTAGTTAATAAAGTCGTCAAATAAGATGGCAGTTATGAACAAATTACCCTATTTAGTTGGTTCACAGAATAACACTACGATTGCTTATGTCTACAAAGTGCTGAGTAAGCATTGTGCCTTGACCTGTAGCCTTGACGCATGTACAGTCGATGGTTATTCTAAGACACAGGGAGCTGGCACTGAGCTGTACTGAGCAGGACACGACAGCATAAGGTCTGGCAAGTAAAGCGGATACCTAAAGAAATCATATAACTGATCATCACTAACTGACGATTGAAATATAGTTTGTGTCTAAATTGAATAGGATATTTAAATGTTTAAATAGTTCGGATTAAAATTGTTTGGATATTTTATCGTTTAAATGGCTAAAAGGAATTTTAACCAACCAATATTTTCCAGAGAATATTCCAATACTTTCCAATATTAGCGGTTCTCAGACGGCAGTCATGACCTAATAATCCTCTAAACAATTTTTCCACACAACAATACAAGTTGTGCATGTCTTCAAAGGTCAGAGGAGGCTGTGTCAGAGGACACAGTTAGGTTATATATATCGATTGTAATACAATTAAATGTTTACAGTCAATGGCCACTCTAAAAGAGGCTAGACACAGGCTGAGGGGCAGGGGCTGGTACTAAGCAGGGCACGGCAGGATAAAATCTGGAAAGGCAGCGGAGAACTCAAAAAATCAGGATAACTTAACCCAAGGATTACTATTCATTTAAGTGTTAAAATATAATTCGTCCGTAAATTGAAAAGAAATTTCAAAAATGTTTAGATTTAAAAAGTTTGATTTGATTAATTTTAAGCTCTATTTTCATCCCGCTGTTATTATTTATCCACCTATAAATTGTGTCCACTATTTATTTTTACCGATTTTTTTGTGAATGACAAGTATGTTAATCGATTTATAATCATCCGTACATATTGTTTAATTTCTCAAATAATGGCACATTTAACACAACTTATTTTTAAATTTCATATTCTAATCTCTAAAAATATAATTTTTTTGTACTACAAGTTCTTCAGTTTTACCCTAGATTTTAAACTTAGGCTACCATAAAATATAACGGTAAGTTTGAAATTCTTTATAATGACCATAATTATCTCAAAAGAGTTAAACTAAGTTGCTTTATGAGGCTACTTGAGAAATCCAATTATTTCCTCATCTCTTTTTTGTCAAGTTTTGTTGCGGCCTTTCTGAGACAACGCCATTAATTATAACTGAAACTAAACATTGACATTTCATCACTTTGTTGGCTATAATTTGGGCAAGAATCGTAATTTAGTGGGTGAATTTGCAAAGTGAAAGCTGGAATTTAATTAATACATTACCTTCATTGCCATCATGTTTCAAACGTAACAAAAATTAACCCTGTACACATATACAAAACTTGAAGACCCCAAATAACCTGCGAGAGGAAATAAAGCATCAGTTTAATAAATTTAAACAATTTATTAAAACTATGATTAAACCCCAAATATTTATATTTGAGTATTATTTTTAATTTCAATATTATATCATCAACGTTAAAAATAAAAACCTTCTATAAGAGGTTTTAAGAGGGTTCCATCCGCCAGTAAGTTGGCTACGGTGTACATCAAACAGTATTTATGCATGTTCGCTTAATTATTGACAATGTACAATTGTGCACGTTGAAATTTTGGAAGCCAAGCTAAGAAGAAATATTTGAAGGTAATTTGTTTGATGGTTATTCGTAGAAGTAGGGTAAGTCAAATGATTTTTAAAGTAAGACAAAACATAATAGTTCATCACACCGCCCCAAAGCTTCTTTTCCATAACCGCCGGAACCAGTTTCTACCAGTTTCTGTTTTGCTGGCTTAGGTTGTAGTGATGAAATACTAGGCCATTAATTTACATCTATATTTTCTTCAATCATCGGCTTCTTTTGGATACAATAACAGTAGGTTTAAAACCACAATGTGTCTGTCTTGCCCTTCCAGTAACAATTCAGTAGCTTTATCATGAAGAGCCCAGGGGTACTCTACATCTGGATCTGTAAATATGCATTGGGTTGTATTGTAAATACATTGCTGGTACATAGTCTGTTAAAAATAATTGCATGTTACTTCAGTCTTTTTAGATAAATGTATAAATAGTTTTACAAACAGATTCTAATTGTTTTAACTTAAGGAATGAATACCTACGGTAATTTTATCTGATGTTTTAATTTTCGTATCTAAGTATCAATAGAAAATAGGAAATAAGATTAACTCATAGTTAATTTGTTTTCGAAAACAATACATTTATCTAAGGAACCTTATAAAACATTTATGTATTGTATATAATTTTTCTATCAAGTGACATTTCATAATTTCCCTCTTGCGTTGAACCTAAAGCACTCGTAAAACTTGGAATTATGAATTTGGAATGAATTTGACACATTTAAGGCAATATTAAGTTTTAGTGCAAAATTTTAATCAGGCACATGACAATTTGATTATTCTGCAGGTTTGCTACGATGGGAAAGTTTCAATTTATTTTTTTATCAAACCAACTAAGTTTGACGAGTTTCAATAGTGAAGCTTTAAACTAACGCGCTTTTTAAGTTTAAATTCAATACTTATTACCCTTAGTGGTAATATTGTTATTCATACAGCAACATCATAACAGCTAAATACACTTTAAAACACGAAATACAAAATTAATTGCAGCAACAGGTACCAACTTTACATTTCAACAATGGCTTATCAACACAGTTTAAATACTCTGTAACAACAAGAGAACTGTTTAGTTATTCACTCTCAACCTATAATTAGACCACAATTTCAAGTAGAGAATTTCTAATGAGTAAACCTAAGCTCCTACTTAAGCACATCAACATGGCATTGTTGGCAAAGTCTATTGTAATGTGTCAAGAACAAAGGTCTTGAGTCACAAAGAGATTAAACTAATGTTTGCTTCTGAGCCGCTTTGACACTGCTTTGTAAACTGAACAAACATTACACAATGGCAACATGATAGTTTAACTTATATACGTAGTTGTTTTAATTATTAATTCTAATGCACTCTTTTTAACATGGTATAACTATTGTAGGTGTTGGTTTTATATTTTGTAATTACCTATTACATTTCTATCTTTATAAGATTATTTTATACTTTCGTGTTCTTGGATGGAGTTTATAGATAACATTTTCTCTCTCAATTGTCAAAAATAGTTAGCTTTATACATTTTTATAACCGTAAAAAAAGATGAAATTAATGACTTGATTAACTATCAAGTCCATCAAGTCACGATCAAAATAGGCTATAAGATACCTAAATGGACAGCATTTTATAAAGAGAATCATACAATCATACTGGAAAAAATTAAATAACGTGCATAAATAATAGTAGGTCTATAGAGAGTATTAATTATTTTATTTTAATAAGTTTTATCATTGACTATTGGATACTAATAGTCAAAGGTTTTATCTGATAAGCCAAGTTAAGCTTCCCCTTAAAAATATAGATAAAACAACGTTATAATTCCTCAACTTCATTCAAACAATTCTGCGGCTAAATTTTGTACTGTTGGAATTTGTCAATTTAACTGTATATGAAATATAAATCCAATGATAACTTGGATTTGATTAGTGCCAAACCCTGGAAACGTGGTAATTAGAAGCTTAAAAAGTACTTACAGCCATATTTTCCAATGAATGCTATATCGATAGTCTTATCGCTACATTTAGGGTCTGTGAGAAATTTCTGGGGTTTTGTATACCAACCTCTCCCTTCATAAACATTCCCGTCACCTCCGACAAGAAAACTGTAAACAAACGAACAAAGCTAAAGCATTGTTAATTATCTTAACTCAAACAACTATGTAGGCATGCAAATAACACTCATGTTATTAAACGGAATATTACATTTAATATTTATGCTTTACTTCTAGATTGTGTGTTTGTTATTATAAACTTTAAACACAAATTTCAACTGCAAATAGAATGTTTCAATAATGGACGAAGTGGTTTTGCTATTTCATTTCGTAAATTTGTTTACTTACGAGATGGAAATTATTCACCTTGTATTTACTTCTGTAAAATTACAGTTTGGGCCTACTATAAATGCAAAACAAAAGATAGTCACATAACTCACATTCCCAAAATTTCTTAAATGATTTTGATAGAATATGTACTGTTTTAAGTACTATATTTTAAATTTCTTTTACCAAAACACTAATAAAAGAAGTCTTCAAAGGGCATTGAAATAATTATGTTTTAGTTAAACTAAACGATGGCAGTGTTTATTTTTTTTATGTAGGCCTACCTTTCTACAAGACACTTAATTCTCTGGAGGTAAATGTAGATTGAATGTTTATTATTTATTTGCCACCAACCTATTTTCTGTCATTTTGATTTTAAAATATTCTATGTTTTTAAATATGCTATTTAACTAACTTATGTCGACAAGGACCCCATATCGTTTGTTTAAAATATAAAACACATTATACTGCAAGGAAAATATAATAATAATATAATACAAAGCTTCAAAGATAAAGTTAATTAATGAGCCAACTTTAGAAAGTTCTGCGATTAGTCCCAAGCTGATATCCTGATCACTACTTATTTTTTTTTATAAGGATATACAGTATTTCTCAATTGATACGAGTGGGTAAAGTGAACTAGTACTAGAGTGAAGAAAACAAGGTGCAAGAATTATAATTTCACTCCTTTTTCAAGTATATTATTTCAAGTTATATTATTTTAAGTCTAATACTCAGGTTTACTATTTTGAACTAACAAAATAACCTCATCCTTGGTGCCACTGGTTGGGAAACCTTGATCTTCAGCGGTCCAAAGCATTTGGTTTCTATGGAACGATCTAATACCATGTATTTACTTTTAGGCTCTCAAAATAGCTGTCTTAGTAAAGCCGTAATGTCAGCACATGGAAGTGTCTGACAAAGTAATACCTGTATGTTGTGTTAGTGTTCGTTTACTATGTCCGCTTACTTGTAGGCTATGTCTGGTAGATTGTCCTGGTTCATATGTCTGTGCTGTATCTCCCTCACTGTAGAAACACACTCTGTTGGACTGTTGCATGGAGGCGTGTCCGTGTCAACGGTAAATGAAACCTTGGACCATCATCCGCTTATTGTTTGCTTTCCAAATATAAAAACCAACATACAGCAATCAAATCAAGAATTTGATAACAAAACTTATTTACATATTTTTGCAGGTATTGATTAAACTACGTAATTGATATACAACATTATAATCAGACCACTAATAACAAAATGGCGTCATAAAATGATTCCCTAAAATGGACAGAAATTACTGATAAAAGCAATTGCCTGGAAAATCCCCAACTCCCTATTATTGGTGTTACATATCTTTAATCTCTGTCTGTTTTTGGTGAACCATTTTTTTATGTCATTTTGTTGTTAGTCATCCGATTTTATTTTCTTTGTGGCAATTGCTTAGTTTGAACAAAAACTAAAAATTATTTATGTAAGTCGACTATACTTCATATTTGCAAATTTTCAGCTAACCACCCCAACTAAACCTGAGCGTAAATGTTTTAAATTAACCATAATTACTTTAGCCCCTCGGCCCACATATCTAGGAAGGTTGCCGAAAACAATTTCAATGATCTCAAATAGTTAAAAAGTAAAGGGTTGGGTGCAAATTAGCAAGCACTGTTCAGGGAGAGGCTAAAACACAAGAATATAAGTGGACTGACATTGACTGTAACAGATATTTGACTTTTGATGAACTTTTGACTCCTGTGTTAGGTAAAAATAGAAGTGATAAGTAGGACCAACCTAATATAGGAAGTAATTAATACACTCATCTCTAGTTGACATCTTTTTTGTTCATTTCTATACGTTTAATAGCAGGCGAATACTTTTCAAATGTAAGAATATGTCTTTCATAAACACAAAATGATATGTTTAAATAATAATATTCGTGTCCTAGAATCTAACAATGATTATCGATTGGATTGTACACATTATGTTAACTTGCCTTTTTGATTGGGTGACCAAGGCGTTTCCATACTATGGGATGTTCTGCTCCCCACTCCTCTCTGCTTACTATGAAGATTTTGAGAGGCGGCCGGGTGATTTCTAGTGGTTGAGTAATCAAAAATAACTAATTTTAAGAGGTAATCGGGGAAAGAGTTTGTATTTACAAAAATAGGAAGATAGGTAAAATAGGGGATAGTAAAAAAGTACGTATGAATTAGAGAGGACTATAAAAATAGTAAGTTTTCTTTGAATTGACATTTTGCTTTAACTCAATTGTAGACTAAGTTGGATAAGAGTTAAGTCTGAAATTATGATTATATGTGCAGAGATTTAAAAGAGAGTGAGATCAACAAAGGTTACATGACAGTAATCTTTTAGCGAACTACAATCACTAAGCGAAACTACAAAAAAATTACTCTTTTAAATAATCACATGAAGTGAGGTGCTTAGTGACCCAGGATCACTTGTTGAATTAAACCTTTTACTTTTAAATAGGTCCCTATATTGATGGGTTGGAAACAGCTATATATATATATATATATATATATATATATATATATACCACATTCTATGGACAATGGCTTAAGGTAAAAATTTATAACATAAACTACTTAATATTTAGCATCCCAAATAAATGTTGAAATGAGTAATGGTAGGTATGATTAAATAACATATTTTAATGCAAGCTAAAATCTCCTTTACATTATAATTGGTTATTTTGAAAATTTGAAATTAAAACTTTGCCTAATGAAGAACTTAATCATCGCCCCTGGTCTGGTCCTATTTAATTTTTATGGTTATAACATGGTGTATCTATTTTGCTAATGACAAATTTAAAAATTTGGTTGCACTGTAATTCAAATCCCACCATGTTTAAATAACAATGTATATTATCAGAAAAAACTTGTTTGGTTCAAGTTAAAAAGTTAAATCGTTCTTGTGCAAAATCTATAATCAGAATATTTTAGATGCTATGTTAGTCGTTGTTAAAACATGGACTTAGATGATGTATATATGCTTATTTAAACCTTTTCTCAGTGTCGAAATTGTTATAAATAATTGCTATTTCACTATTTACAAGCAAATAAATATGAAAAAATAACTTACGATTGACCGGGGCATATCTGTAACTCATTTTAAATTCAAATCTTGTTTTCAATAATATTTATGTTTTTTTTTCTTTTTAAATATCACAAACATTTTACGAACACTTATTTTTACATTTAGTCTGTCTTAAATTCACCTTTTTCCAAATTCTTATGATTATTTTACTTGAAAATAATAAGCACAGTAATACTTAAGTAAACAAACTAAAGAAAACAACAGCTTTAAAAGATATAAGATAATAGAATGATGTATTTACCAACTGATAACGAGACTCATGATTATTCTTAGTTAGGGCCTACTTTAGATAGCTGTATAGCTTATTACTGTGTGACAGTGCACAATTAAACTGCCTAAAACATGACTGTTAAAATCACTTGAACAATTGTTTTTATCTTCACAATTATTTTGTTACATAGCCTTTTCATTTTTTTTGCCCTACCTACTAAAAAGCATGAATGGACTAAATATACTAAGATTTGGTCCAGTTTAGATTACTGGTGATATGAACACAAATTGTATCGAAAAATACATTTGATGTATATATTTGTATTTGTCGGTATTTTGTCTAAACTCCAACGCTATAAACGAAAGGCAGTACAAACTCATACCATTTTTCAATGAAAGCTATGGATCGATCACTCCACTCTGGCACCAAATTCCCAAAACCTTAGTTTATCACTAAGCTAGCGAAAAATCCCTGCATTACAATTTCTTAAAGGGATATAGGATACAAAAAAGCTCACAATACAATATATTATTTTAGTTTGATCAAAAAAAGACTGTAGTCGAAATGTTTAGATATCTAAAAACCTTACAAACTGTATTCCTGGCAAAATCAATTTGTAAAATAAAAAGTATTTTACCGATAGATTGTATTACTCTTGGAACACAATTAATGATTGAATTATTGTACCAGAGCGTGTTATATTATTTATACATAACTTTAACTTATAAAATATATTTCACCTCATGTCCGTCATCTTTCTCTGAATAATATATCTTATTTAAACTATTAAGCACGTAGCTGTAAAACAAATCCTTACAACAAACAACAAGACAACAGAAAACTCACAAAAACACAAAATAAACATTAGTCACACAAAACAGCTACATGAAAAGCTTTGTTAGTTTCACTTCTCAAGTTCCAAAATGAGTTCCTTTGTGGCAAAACGTAAGTTTGGAGACTGGAGTAATCTGCCACAAGAATAGCTGTCAGCAACCACAGAAATAGAGTCGGCATTGTATGGGAACAAAAACAAGCAAGTCTCCAATAACACTGTTTGGGCTTAGTGGACTTCAAAGTAAAATAGAGGAGTTTGGTCCCCGGCACAGTCACAAAAACTTACAGGGTTGGACCACATTCTGTCAACAAGTTTGTGATTCTTTGGTCCATAATGCAGTATTAACAAAAACCCAGGTATTATATCGTTTAAAAAAATCAACAAGTTTTGTACAGTAAGAGCAGTCAGTTTAATATGCTTTAAACACATTTTAAAATCTTTCAGCGAATTCTAATGGACAGTTTAATAATTTGTAGAACAGTATTAAAAATATCCTTGAAATATTTTATGGATATCAAATGGTATGCGAAACATTGTTCACATTTATCAAACTTATTACAAAAATTAAAGTAGGCTAAGTTGGGAATTTTATATTCTATTTTATATTTTAAATTTTATATTCTTCGAAATTTTAGGGTAAATTAGGAAAACATTAGGTATATAAATAATTACAAGTTCCTAAACGAACCTTGCTATAGCCAGAAAGTTAAAACTAAACTACCCTGTTGTATAATCCATCAGTCTTAAAACGTGTTTGCTCAAAACACCTGTGGGGAAAAAGTTTTAACGAGTGTTGTAGTTTAAAAGTGCTTTGCATCCAGTAAATTTGTTTCGCGGCCAAAGAAAACTTTTTACAAATTATGATGGACAGTCCTAAAAACTTTTATGCTATCAAAAGTTTACAGTGTTGTTAAAATAATAGTGAACAGTTGTGTATAAGCACTTTGTGGATAAATACTCTTTAGTTTGTTTTATCGTATACAGTGTGTCTCGCCTTAAGCACAGAAAACATACTACTTAAGTAACCAGTAGCTACCTTTGAGAAATTGAGTTAATTTCTTATGGGACACTCCCCTTTTTATCTTTTCAGATGTTTTTTAGTATGGTTTCAAATTTTTTTACTATGTTCAACATTTTCCAACTAAGCCGAAAACTTTTTTATTTTTAATGGAACACTCTGTATTTTATGACGTTTTTATTCTAGACATTTTTTCTCTTTTCCCGCCGCAGAAAACCTCCAGACCATTTAATTTCCATTTACTGTACCTGGTTAGAGATTTAATTAAATAGTCCCTTAAATTGTAAGATTTATTCCCTATTTAAATACCGTAACATTTTTATTTTATTCTAATGAGCACTAAGGTTGACTGATAAAGGGAAGGTAGTAAAGTGTGTGTGTTTTTTTATTATTAAAATGTAAATAGTCTGGAACAAAATGAAATATTTGGCCAGAATTAATCAAAATATTCCTAATCAAGCAAAAGGAGTTTGTTTATTCTTCATGATAATAACATTTAAATTTTAAATGTTCATCTTTTTTGAATTTTCCCTTGACTAATAGGCTGAAACAACGCTTCAATAATGTACAATTTTTTTTACAAAATAGTTAAGAAATAAATTGCAAATTGGATGTTTTGAGGGTCAAAAATGGAAAACCCCAATTTTTGCCCGTAAAACCCCCACTCCAACTCTCATAAAACCCCGTTTCCATACTTCGATCATGCTGGTTTGAAACTTGTTTAAAGAAAAGTAGGTGCACTTTTTTGCCAAATTCCATCAAAATTGGATGATGTTTACTCAAATTACCGTGCTAACGGACACATATATAAATAAATACAGGGTGACAAAAAAGTCTGGAAACGGTTTAATATCTTTTTAACTAAATCCGTTAGAAAATTCAAACCTTTCACATCAACTTACATGTATGAAAACTACTTTTCCAACCATTACCATTTTTTGACCTCTACCAGGGGACGACCCATGAGGAGTAGGTACATAATCTTTAATGTAAGCCTAGGTTGATATGCACATCATTTTAAAGGTCTAGTCAAGTGAAGTGCATTGCCGGAAACCGCGTCAAAAAAGGTTCATCCGTTACAAAATGGTGGCAGTCCAAAGTTATTACGGAATATACCTGCACAGGCCTAAGTATTGGTAAATACTCATACTCAACTTTAGCCAGGAAATCTGAAACCCGGTTAAATCTGTTTTGAAGATTGAATAATATTAGTCTATGAGCTAATTGACTTTAAAATACAGTTTCAGCTCTCAAGCTAACGTTTAATACGAGTATTTGCCAATACTAAGGCCTGTGCAGGTATATTCCACAAGAAATTTGGACAGCCGCCATTTTGTAACGGATGAACTTTTTTTGACGCGGTTTCCGGCAATGAACTTCACTTGACCAGACCTTTAAAATGATGTGCATATCAACCTAGGCTTACATTTAAGATTATGTACCTACTCCTCATGGGTCGTCCCTTGGTAGTGGTCAAAAAATGGTAATGCTTGGAAAAAGTAGTTTTCATACATGTAAGTTGATGTGAAAGGTTT